ACCAACAGAAAGCAGAAATTAAAGCCAGAACAAATTGTCACAAAACACAAACGGAACGAAGTATGAACCAACATGAATTGAAACACTGGAAAGCATTTTGATTATAGGCAGGTAAAGATTTTTTTTTTTAAATGGTGTACTATTGTTCCTCAAATTAGCTGGGTATAAAAGTTTTTTTTCTCACTTGTAGTTGGAGGCAGTGAAGTCACGGGAAGGGTCGATTTTATTTCCGTGGACGGTTTATCAGTCAATCCAACAACTACGACTCAGAGGAAAATAAAACATCAATAATAACATAGTTCAATATATAACGTGTGACTTTCGTTCTAAAATGCTGTATGTTTCTATACATATTGTGCTAAAAGTTACATTTTTAATTTCACTATCTTAAGTCTTTATTGTTTGTTTATCAGATGATTCCTTAAATGGGCCTACATCTACATAAAATGCTGCTTTACATAGTTGAAGATCCATTCGATGTATAAGGATTCACTGAGTCCAGTGCAAAATGAAGTCCAAGTGTTCTTTATTCTTCCAAAAGTGTCATGAATGCTGAAAATTTCATTCATTCTCAGTTATATTTTTATTTGGTTATTTAAATTCAAAACTGACCTGTGGTCCAACTGACCTCTTCCACTGTAGATGTTGTGGTGGACTTTGTACTCACAAAACCTGCAGGAAAAGAAGATACATTTGAATCAGTTAGTGGATTTTAACAAATAAATAGCTGAATTCAGCTATTCTCTCAGGCCTTTGAGTGAGACTTCGATTTTATCGTAGTTGTCTTAATTTCCCTCTCTTACTTGTTTTTTTTTGTTTCTTATTTTTTGCTCTTACTGTTTTTAATCTTTGAGTTTGTCTTGTGTTGTGGTGATAATTGTGTTTTATGATCTGCTCAAATGTCCTGTACAGCGCTTTGATTTTAGCTTTGGCTGACTGAAAGCGCTTTATAAATAAAGTTGAGTTGAGTTGAGTTGAATTACAAAAACAGAAATAACATCTATGTAATAACAATTGAATAGATTCAAATTTAAGCCGAATATTAAGCAGAAAAAAAAACTAAAACTGACGTAAGAAAAAGTACAGCAAAGTCAAAGATCATAAAGACTACTTTGTTCTCTGCAGTTCGGACACATTAATTCTAGTTTGAGACAATAACTGATAGGACCGCCTTCTTTAACTTCCTCTGAGCCAGTGGAAACCTTTATTTAACTTGGTTTCAGCATTACGGAAACAGTGGGAGTGAAAAAAATGGCTTTTTGCCATTCTACATTTTGCTGTTAAAACACATGCACACATCTTTCAAATTTTCATGATGAATATCTTCTTTGGTTGGTTTGTTTTACTGTTTTAAGCTTACCTGTTTCCATGGTAACTGCTGTGTTTGATACAACTTTTACTCTATCTGTAAAAAAAAAAGAATTATTTAACATGAACAATCAAATACCCATTAGCAGTTATTAATACAATAGGTTACACCCAAAACCCTCCAAACTAAACCACCTCTACCCTTTTTTTAACCACCTTAAATCATTTGTGGATTTTCATCAGGTTATGATTCTAATAAGATGAACAAATAAGGAACATTTTTAGAAATTGTTATTTGCATCATCCTCAGGTAATAGTTCGCAGTAATCTACTCAAAGCATGTTATTTCAAAGTCGATGTTTTTAGTTGTTAAATTAAACATCTTTGACTCACCAGACAGGCTATATGGATCACTACGAGGAAACAAAGACTTCTTATCACGTCCCAAAGTGTAGTCACAGCTGGCGTCCTTTCGTTGAGCTAACAGTGGATGTATCATGACTTTATCAGCTGGGTAATAGAACAGGCAGATCCAATGATTCTGTTTTGAGCCTTTACTCTGGGAAACATTTAATGTTTGCACTGGATGACTTCCCTCTCCAAAGTACAGGTTACATCTTGTACCACTTTTCACTGATCCGGGCAGAAAGCAAACGAAGATAATTTCACTTTCGAATAGTTGAACACTCAGTTGTGGCTTTGGACCTGTAAGCATAATGCTCCCATGTGTCATCAAATATTCTGATATTGTAGGAAAAATAACATGAATTTGACACAATCTGCACATTTTCAAAAGTCTTAATGGTAACTCTGTATAAATAGAACTAGACTTAACAGTGAACATTTGAATGTGATGTCACCCCTTTTTATCCTGATGAATGTGAACTATTCTAAGAAATGTTTTGTCAAACTCATGAAACAATGTTAAATGCACAACTTCTCCCGTCCAAACACACATATATGATAACAATCAAAGGCA